TCCCCCCGCCCCTCGCTGCCCCGTCCACTGTTATTCTCGGCGGTCCGGAGGGGAGCGATGAGAACAGAGAGAGAGGCGAAGCGAGGGGAGAGAGAGAGCGAGAAAACAAGCTCGTCCTCAAGTGTTTCTCCTCCGCCGCCGCCGCCGCCGTCTTCTTCATTGCCTTTCATCTCTTTTTTGGCCCTTCAGAGAAAGTGAACTTTGAAAAGGGCAAAACCGCGAGGGGATATATTATTTTCTCCCCCCCCCCGCCCCCCCTCCCCTTTTAATTCACTCGATCATAGTCCAAACTTCGATGACTTCTCCATTCTTGCATGGCGAGAGCAGCCCATTCATCTGTTTTGTAATTAAAAATGGATGCGTCTCGTGTCCACGATGACCGCTCGCGATGAATCGCATGAAAACTCACTCACTCGTTTTTCTCCAGCAGCAGGACGAGCTGTTGGCCTTCGGCACGGACCAGCAGGCGCAGTGACGGCGGATAACCCTGGAACAGGGGGGGGAAAAAAAGGGGGGGGATGAACGGCAGGGACGATGGCAACCTGATCAAACCCATCCTGCCTTCACCTCGCTCTGACACAAAAAGCAAAGCAGGATGCGAAGACGCACAATGGAGACGGCGGGGTAACGGAAGGCCGCTTCCGCATCATCCGTTTCCCGTGAGCTCGGACAAAAGTATTGGGACAGGAAGTGAATGTGGGAGAATGTCTCGAGTCGGTGCTCGATTTTGAAGGCATTTCTTCAAGTCTCACCGTTCGACTGATCAAAATATCAAGTCGGACGTTGGTCTCACGGTAAAATAAAACTCCTGCGGACAAATTTGGTCAATTTCCCATTTTCGAGATCGTTGATTAGTCTGTACATGGTCTGTTTTTTTTCTGTTTTTTTTTAACAAATTATTCACTAATCGACAGTGTTTAAAATACACTTACAGCAAATCTCTCAACTGTATAAAACGATCTGAGAAGTGTTGTGACCCCCACTTTTGACTCTGTGGGAGCGTGGCAGCGTTATATCTCCTCAAGCTTGGAAGTGACAATGAGTAAGAAATCCTCAGTGGACAATAATGAGTAAAAATAGAAAAGTTAGATACATTTGCTTAAACCCTGAAGGCTGGGAAAAAAAAAGTATATTTTTTTTAAACCCATATTGGGTCGTTCTTTATTCATTTTAGGTGATTTTTAACCCGCGGTTTTGAGGGTTTCGGCCGCTTTTCTTAAAAATGGCCGAATACTTTTTGTGATAGCTCATCTTTTTTTTTTTTTTTGTATTGCATCACTCACGGTTCTGAGAATTTTGGAAAGACGATGTCGCTTTATTGATGCAGTGTTTTGGTAACTCAAGAAATACGCCGTTTTTTTTTTTATTTCCTGAATAGTCGTGGTTTTAATGAGGTGATGATTCATTTTTTTTAAAAACTAGTTGAGACTGACTCTACGGAAGCTAAGCTGGTTGCAGGCAAGCAGTGCACTCCGTCTGAGATAGAACAATCGTTAGCTTCCGAATTAAAAAAAGGGTCACCTTCTCCTCTCTTAAAAGGCATCAGCAGTGGTTCAACCTATCTGATGTCATTAAAAACCAAACGCCTAATCAACCTCATCGGGCTTAAAGTTGCACCTCGCTCTGCCTTTCCAGAGTAGCTGATAAATGGGGGTAATTAACAACCCTTCTCCGCCTTCACCCGGCAGGTGACCGACTTTTTGCGGGGAACACCGAGTAGGAACGGGAAGCTCGCCGCAACAGGAAAAATGTTTAAGGAGTTGTCAACACCTACGCACGCACGCGCGCTTCTGCCTGGAGGCTCTTTCTAAGAAGCATTTTGATCGATGCATTTTATTTTCCGTAGCGCTGCAAAGGGTCTGCTTGGCAGCGCATATGGAAAGCGTTTGTCAATCGCGGCCACGACTCCACAAAGACGAGAAAGGTTGGAATACTGATGGCGTCTGCAGGGGAAATGAAAAAAAAAACAAAAAAAAAAGAACATGTCCAACTCGGATGATACTAGAAAGGCGAGGTAAGACGTTCGTTCTCAAGGGCCGAACAATCACGATATGGATCGTGTATATTATACAGCGAGAGCCCGCTCCCGCCCCCCCCCCCCATTAATTTCTGAATGCGGCCTTTGTTATAATAAATCAATCAGCCAGTGCCTGCTTGAAGTGTTTCCTTGCCTTGTGCTGCCTAATGCACTGGGCTCCAGTCATTCATTTTTTTAAGGGCACACCGAACAACTGAATGGCACATTTGAGCAACGGTCTGAATTTTCAAACGCCTGGAGTGAAGCAGTGCGTGGTTCCGACGGTGCCTACGGTAAAGTACAGCGGTTTTGCTGCTCTACAGTTCTTGGTCTCAGTTTTGTACAATCAACCCCCCCCCCCCCCCCCCCAAAAAAAGCAATGTAACACTTTTAAAGGATCCACAATGACGTCCCTTTTGTGTATTTCTGCTTATAGTCTCCTTGGCAGAGTAAAAGCGAGATGAATTTGAACATAAACAAACGGACAAAAACAATTGGTGGGGGTGGGCGCTCCGTCTAGAAATGAAGCTTGTCATCAAAATTGAGCGATGACTCACAAGTGCTCTTCTGTCATCTTGAAACACTCTAAATGGATGCACATGCGGCCATAAAACAAGCGCCCCGACATTAAACTAGCATTCGAACACGTGTTGGATTCTTGGTTTTTGTGGCGCGGCAGCATGACTCAAACAAATGCTGTGGTTTGAGGGTGAGTTTCTTTTTTTTTTTTAAAGCTGTGGACACTCTGTTCTGGTGTATTCTTGGCAGCGATAACAAATTAGAAAAGAAAATCAGTTCTACTTTTACAGATGCTATTAGATATACAGTCAAACCTCGGTTTTCGAACGTCTCGGTTCTCGACCAATTCGGTTTTCGAGCAAAAATTTCGAGTTTTTTCTGCCTCGGATGACGAACAAATTTCAGTTCTCGAACAAACGGAGCGCACTTGAATGCACCACTTGACTCCTCTCGCCTTCCTTCCACGAGGAAATGACGCTTCCTCGGGTAGACGAAGTGACGCTTCCTCGTGTCGCTTTCTATTGTGAACAGACGTGTTCAATAAAGATGTTTTTATTCAAAAGAGCGCGGTATCGGTTTTCGAACAATTTCGGTTTTCGAACAGCCTTCTGGAACGGATTCTGGACGAAAACCGAGGTTTGACTGTATATTGTTTTCGTTAACTATTGATGGTTTCTCTAATTGCGACGTAACACGGGTGGTGCTAAGAAGTGGATAGAGTCAGGTAAGTCCCTTGCTATCAAATTCACGGGCTGCCACTGCATCTTGATATGGTTCTTGATCGTCGAAAATTCCAGGGCTCCCACTAATCTCATGAAAACGGCTCAAAAAGTTTTATAGAATTCATGCGCTTTAAAACACACGAAAATGCCATTAAAAAGACATTGTGATCGTTATAAGAGCTCTCCCTTCACTTCTGATGCAATGGACTATTCCATCTTCTTATTCGGATGTGTATCTCTCTTTTCTTTTTCTTTTTTATTTTTTAGACGACCAAACGTTTCAACCTTCTTCACGTGATACAGAACGTATGAACTGACAACAGCAGGAGCCAAATGCTTTTCTTGCCAGCAGCGGTCGCGCTGCTGTCAGTGTCAGCCGAGGACGACGCAGTCGCGACAAACTGGAAAGTGACAGGAGTGACACTTTTCATTCGGAAAATGTGAACATTAACGCAGCCGAAATGTGAAACTATATTCAATGTTCTTATGAATATATGTCATGTGGAAGGTTTGCCTTGGCCCCACCCCAAATGACTAAATACGTCCCTGCTGATCGACCTTGGTGAAGGTGAAATGTTGTTCGAGTGAGCGCTTCGTCGGAATGGCCTTGCGAGTACCTACCCCTCGCTCCAGTAGGCTGAGGGGTCCGCTGTGTCGGCCCGTAAGCAGCAAAGGTACGGTGGTCTCGCGGCGTTGTGCTTGAGTCGGCCGCTCGGCCTTGGCAGAGGCACTTCCTGTTAAACACAAAGCGACAACACATGAGCTCGACATGAGTGATGACTTTCAACCCCACGGGGGGGGTTTAAAAGATGACGAGACAAAATCTCACGCGTTACCTGGACAGATAATCGGGCCAAATGGGAACATTTTCGCCTCAAAAGTCAGCAAATTTGATCATGGGATGTCGCGGTAGGATTAACCGCAGTAATTGGCCTTTGCTATCGGGTGATGAATGTGATCAGGTGATTAGACATTGATGGTCACAATGGAGAAAACTATGGCCTTGCAACTTCAATGAGTTTGCTACCATTCTAAGGGTATTTGAGGTCATACAGTGAGCATTAAAAAAAATTAAAAAGCCAGGAAAAATATGCTTCTGAAGTCACACAAAAACTCTTGACTCATGCAAGATGTCATTTGAGACCATACGAGCTTGGTTACCACAACAAATTAAATTCATGAGCGGTGGCTGGATAGAGTAGCCAAAGATTGCTTACTTTAGAATGTCTTCACTCAAGAAAAAGTCAAAAGTCGTCCTTTGAAAAATAAAAACAAATAAACATTGACGAGTGAGAGTATTCAATGGGGGGCGGGTGGGGGGAGGTAATTAATTAATTATGGTTAACGAATATGTAAATTCAGACCCGACCAAAATAAAACAATTCCATCAAAAAACAATTCAACAATCGTAAATTAAATCTTTATGACAAGTCACAAATTAAGGCAGATTCAGCCACCACCAAAATGAAAACTGTGCTCGTGTGCGCTCATATGACCGCCCGATGTCAAACGTTGCCGTCGTTTACAGCGGCGTTGGTGATGTCACAGAAGCGCCTCTGACAACCTCAAAATATCCGAAATAGAAGTGTTGTTTTGTAACAAAAAATACTCAAGTAAAAGTGAAAACGTAGCTCACTCTGACACGTGGAATTTGTTCCAAATATTACGAAAACGTAAGTGAGTCTAACCAAACCACCTTTAAGTCAGGGTACCGCTGTCTAAAAAAGAAGAGATGAAATGCATCCGTTTTGGGATTTCTCATCGCATCGCGTCGGAGCTTTGAAGCTCCGCCGTCTTATTCTCTGTGCAAATGTCAATCAAAACGGAGCCCCCGTTACCCAGCTTCTTGTATTGGATCTCATCCGACAGAACCTCACAAAGCGTCTCCTCGCGAGTGTATCTTGGAATCTCAGGCCCCCATCGCAAATTGGGCTGTTTGAGTTGAGTGAAGAAAAAAAAAAAAATACGTTTTTTTCCCAGAGATACGCGGCATCGCAGCGGGACACGGCAACTGGATCACAACCGCATCAATAATACACGCGCGCTGTTTACTGTGTGAAAAACCTCCGCCTTTAGGAACGGGCACACAGGATGGAAAAATTCCCCTTCCGCGTGATCAGATGGAGGCCTTTAAATGCGTTTCCTCCCATCGCTATTCATGAGGTCACATGAGCGAGTTGTAAATACGGCGTGCGTGTGATGAAACGTATTAAGACAAAATCAAGGCAAATCTGGGAAACCGTATTCCCGCCGCGGTCTTCCAGTTCTCCTCCCACGCACAACGGGAGGAGAGGAGTCGAAGGGTGAGGAAGGAGGAGGAAAACGGCGGTAAGATTTTCGGGGTGCCACAACAAAAGAACGACAACTCAAGCCGTGGCCTGTTTTTGACGGTCCCTCGGGACACAAGCGTACGGCGTCTGTGGGAATGTGTGGCAAGGCAAGAGGGAAAAGAGGAGGTGCACCCGGAGTTCAGTGGTGCACTCCTGCCTTGGCACATACAATGTTTACCATCCCATTCCTCCCCAGGGGGGTCATGTCTTCATTTATAGCCGGGATACGTCCGTAAATAAAGTCTGTCGTTCCTCTTTGAAGACGAGTCGAGACTGCATTTCCGTCAACTTCAAACGCTGGAAATGAGTGCGCATTGATCCATAAAAACAAGAGCGTGCGACGTGTCGGATTGTTGCTTTAGAAATGGATCAGGGTGACCTTCAATAAATGCTGCGGTTTGAAGGCTAATTAAAAAAAAAAAAGAAGGAGCAATCAAAAGGAAAGTCACGCAGGCTTGTTAACGAAAGATTTGTCATTCACGTCATATATTAACGATGGGACTCGCCTATGCACCCGGAAAGTCGTGCAACTTGTATAGCTGCGCGTCCATCCATTTTCTGTCGCGCTTGTTTTAATGAAGGTCAAGGGTGAGGTGGAATCTATCCCAGATGTGCCTTCCGATTGAAAAAATTTTTCATTTCGAGAGTGTCGTCGCAGTGGGGGCAGTCAACAGCAGAGAGGCCGGCCGAGCGATCTCAGAGTGCAAAAAAACAACAGACGTACCGGCGTAAAAAGCCATCATACGCAAGCACTACGAGCAAGCTTGCGGCGGGGACAACGGTTGTCCTTGCGCACCATCCAAACTAAACCAAGAAACTAAGTGCAGTGTGAAAAGGGCTTTAGTATTACTACTGTATTGCAGCATTCATTTTAAATTCTTGATTCCATTTAAAAAATGTCCTACCATGTCAAAGCACACCGTCGAGTTAGACCACGGCTAATAATAAACAGTGAAAGATTTTACCTAAAAAGGGTTCTCGAGAGTTGACGGTAGACCAATTTCTGATTTCGGAGGAAAACAAATCCAGCGAAGAGAATAATGAAAGAGCTCAAACACAAATCGTTTCACAATGTCAACTTTCGACAATGGAGACTTTGTACAGCATTCAAACCAATTGTGGACTGCACATAAATCTTCACGTCAAATCAAGTTGTGTTTGCAGGAAGGACCTTTATGGAATAAGCGCCCTTGTACCTCCACCAAGGCAAAACATTTCCTTTCGCTTACTTCTCATCCATCAACTCACTCCGTTTTTATTTCCCAAGTGACAACACATCAATAGAATTAGAGGAGAAGTTGAGAAGGTGCTAATCCCCCCCCCCACGAGGTTTGACTGTATATTGTTTTCGTTAACTATTGATGGTTTCTCTAATTGCGACGTAACACGGGTGGTGCTAAGAAGTGGATAGAGTCAGGTAAGTCCCTTGCTATCAAATTCACGGGCTGCCACTGCATCTTGATATGGTTCTTGATCGTCGAAAATTCCAGGGCTCCCACTAATCTCATGAAAACGGCTCAAAAAGTTTTATAGAATTCATGCGCTTTAAAACACACGAAAATGCCATTAAAAAGACATTGTGATCGTTATAAGAGCTCTCCCTTCACTTCTGATGCAATGGACTATTCCATCTTCTTATTCGGATGTGTATCTCTCTTTTCTTTTTCTTTTTTATTTTTTAGACGACCAAACGTTTCAACCTTCTTCACGTGATACAGAACGTATGAACTGACAACAGCAGGAGCCAAATGCTTTTCTTGCCAGCAGCGGTCGCGCTGCTGTCAGTGTCAGCCGAGGACGACGCAGTCGCGACAAACTGGAAAGTGACAGGAGTGACACTTTTCATTCGGAAAATGTGAACATTAACGCAGCCGAAATGTGAAACTATATTCAATGTTCTTATGAATATATGTCATGTGGAAGGTTTGCCTTGGCCCCACCCCAAATGACTAAATACGTCCCTGCTGATCGACCTTGGTGAAGGTGAAATGTTGTTCGAGTGAGCGCTTCGTCGGAATGGCCTTGCGAGTACCTACCCCTCGCTCCAGTAGGCTGAGGGGTCCGCTGTGTCGGCCCGTAAGCAGCAAAGGTACGGTGGTCTCGCGGCGTTGTGCTTGAGTCGGCCGCTCGGCCTTGGCAGAGGCACTTCCTGTTAAACACAAAGCGACAACACATGAGCTCGACATGAGTGATGACTTTCAACCCCACGGGGGGGGTTTAAAAGATGACGAGACAAAATCTCACGCGTTACCTGGACAGATAATCGGGCCAAATGGGAACATTTTCGCCTCAAAAGTCAGCAAATTTGATCATGGGATGTCGCGGTAGGATTAACCGCAGTAATTGGCCTTTGCTATCGGGTGATGAATGTGATCAGGTGATTAGACATTGATGGTCACAATGGAGAAAACTATGGCCTTGCAACTTCAATGAGTTTGCTACCATTCTAAGGGTATTTGAGGTCATACAGTGAGCATTAAAAAAAATTAAAAAGCCAGGAAAAATATGCTTCTGAAGTCACACAAAAACTCTTGACTCATGCAAGATGTCATTTGAGACCATACGAGCTTGGTTACCACAACAAATTAAATTCATGAGCGGTGGCTGGATAGAGTAGCCAAAGATTGCTTACTTTAGAATGTCTTCACTCAAGAAAAAGTCAAAAGTCGTCCTTTAAAAAATAAAAACAAATAAAAATTGACGAGTGAGAGTATTCAATGGGGGGCGGGTGGGGGGAGGTAATTAATTAATTATGGTTAACGAATATGTAAATTCAGACCCGACCAAAATAAAACAATTCCATCAAAAAACAATTCAACAATCGTAAATTAAATCTTTATGACAAGTCACAAATTAAGGCAGATTCAGCCACCACCAAAATGAAAACTGTGCTCGTGTGCGCTCATATGACCGCCCGATGTCAAACGTTGCCGTCGTTTACAGCGGCGTTGGTGATGTCACAGAAGCGCCTCTGACAACCTCAAAATATCCGAAATAGAAGTGTTGTTTTGTAACAAAAAATACTCAAGTAAAAGTGAAAACGTAGCTCACTCTGACACGTGGAATTTGTTCCAAATATTACGAAAACGTAAGTGAGTCTAACCAAACCACCTTTAAGTCAGGGTACCGCTGTCTAAAAAAGAAGAGATGAAATGCATCCGTTTTGGGATTTCTCATCGCATCGCGTCGGAGCTTTGAAGCTCCGCCGTCTTATTCTCTGTGCAAATGTCAATCAAAACGGAGCCCCCGTTACCCAGCTTCTTGTATTGGATCTCATCCGACAGAACCTCACAAAGCGTCTCCTCGCGAGTGTATCTTGGAATCTCAGGCCCCCATCGCAAATTGGGCTATTTGAGTTGAGTGAAGAAAAAAAAAAAAATACGTTTTTTTCCCAGAGATACGCGGCATCGCAGCGGGACACGGCAACTGGATCACAACCGCATCAATAATACACGCGCGCTGTTTACTGTGTGAAAAACCTCCGCCTTTAGGAACGGGCACACAGGATGGAAAAATTCCCCTTCCGCGTGATCAGATGGAGGCCTTTAAATGCGTTTCCTCCCATCGCTATTCATGAGGTCACATGAGCGAGTTGTAAATACGGCGTGCGTGTGATGAAACGTATTAAGACAAAATCAAGGCAAATCTGGGAAACCGTATTCCCGCCGCGGTCTTCCAGTTCTCCTCCCACGCACAACGGGAGGAGAGGAGTCGAAGGGTGAGGAAGGAGGAGGAAAACGGCGGTAATATTTTCGGGGTGCCACAACAAAAGAACGACAACTCAAGCCGTGGCCTGTTTTTGACGGTCCCTCGGGACACAAGCGTACGGCGTCTGTGGGAATGTGTGGCAAGGCAAGAGGGAAAAGAGGGGGTGCACCCGGAGTTCAGTGGTGCACTCCTGCCTTGGCACATACAATGTTTACCATCCCATTCCTCCCCAGGGGGGTCATGTCTTCATTTATAGCCGGGATACGTCCGTAAATAAAGTCTGTCGTTCCTCTTTGAAGACGAGTCGAGACTGCATTTCCGTCAACTTCAAACGCTGGAAATGAGTGCGCATTGATCCATAAAAACAAGAGCGTGCGACGTGTCGGATTGTTGCTTTAGAAATGGATCAGGGTGACCTTCAATAAATGCTGCGGTTTGAAGGCTAATTAAAAAAAAAAAAGAAGGAGCAATCAAAAGGAAAGTCACGCAGGCTTGTTAACGAAAGATTTGTCATTCACGTCATATATTAACGATGGGACTCGCCTATGCACCCGGAAAGTCGTGCAACTTGTATAGCTGCGCGTCCATCCATTTTCTGTCGCGCTTGTTTTAATGAAGGTCAAGGGTGAGGTGGAATCTATCCCAGATGTGCCTTCCGATTGAAAAAATTTTTCATTTCGAGAGTGTCGTCGCAGTGGGGGCAGTCAACAGCAGAGAGGCCGGCCGAGCGATCTCAGAGTGCAAAAAAACAACAGACGTACCGGCGTAAAAAGCCATCATACGCAAGCACTACGAGCAAGCTTGCGGCGGGGACAACGGTTGTCCTTGCGCACCATCCAAACTAAACCAAGAAACTAAGTGCAGTGTGAAAAGGGCTTTAGTATTACTACTGTATTGCAGCATTCATTTTAAATTCTTGATTCCATTTAAAAAATGTCCTACCATGTCAAAGCACACCGTCGAGTTAGACCACGGCTAATAATAAACAGTGAAAGATTTTACCTAAAAAGGGTTCTCGAGAGTTGACGGTAGACCAATTTCTGATTTCGGAGGAAAACAAATCCAGCGAAGAGAATAATGAAAGAGCTCAAACACAAATCGTTTCACAATGTCAACTTTCGACAATGGAGACTTTGTACAGCATTCAAACCAATTGTGGACTGCACATAAATCTTCACGTCAAATCAAGTTGTGTTTGCAGGAAGGACCTTTATGGAATAAGCGCCCTTGTACCTCCACCAAGGCAAAACATTTCCTTTCGCTTACTTCTCATCCATCAACTCACTCCGTTTTTATTTCCCAAGTGACAACACATCAATAGAATTAGAGGAGAAGTTGAGAAGGTGCTAATCCCCCCCCCCAGCACCACCCCTTTCCCCGAACCGTAGCAAACAGGAATAACCTTTAAGATGGAATGCTTCGTCGTAATAGGAGGTTTTATCCAGTGTCATCCCGAGGGAGCGAGCGGTCGAGGAGTCAATTCCAGTCTTGTCTCACACAGATTTGAGCCTGATGGGAATTTAGCGGGGGGATTTAGGGATTAGCGGGAATTTATTACACATGTTGGGTCACCTCCCAGTCAGTGGTGATGGCTTGACAACCTCCCAATGTCATGTTTTTTTGTTGTTGTTGTTTTTTTGTTTGCTTGCTTTTACTTGTTCTTCCCAAAAAACAAAACAACTTGCATATTCCTTAAAAAGCACAAACATAAATACATATTTTCATGTATAAAGCACTTTTCGTCTCTCCGTTTCCTTACTCGGGCAACCTAATTAACGAACGGATGGAATGAAGAACAGAATCATGAAAAGGTGAGATGATGTCGGATAATCACCACTGATGGTTTGGTATACTTGCTTGAGTGTTCTTTATGCTATCGTTTTCTGAATAATTTATGCTGTCGTTTTCTGAATAATTCTTAAGTTACGTGAACATACCAATCACGTTCTCAGTTCGTTGTTTCCGAGTCATGTAACGTTAGCATATCGTACACTTGTTCAGCCTGTTGTTCTCTATTTTATTTTAAATTGCCTTTAAAGATGACGTCTGTTTTGGGTGTTGGATTTTATCAAATACATATCTCCCAAAAATGCGATTTATACTCCAGTGCGACCGATGTTTTTTTTCCTTCTTTATCATGCATTTTATGGTTGGTGTGACTGACACTCCGGAGTGACTTATAAATACGGTCATTCAGCCAAGACACAAACAAAAACCGAGTGCAGGTTATTACATACTTAATGGGGATCGTACCTGCCTTCAGCACTTGTCTGAACCCGATCAAGGAAGTGTAACAACACAACCATCAATCAAACACTCCACGGGAGAAGGCTGCGTTGTCTTGTCTACCGGATGCGTTTAGTACTTGTGACATGTGGAAAGGATCCTTCCAGACGGATCAGCATGGATGACACGGCCAGGCCGACGTCTGGTAACGTCGGCGTATCCGTGGCGTGCCTTCCGAAGATGACGCCAAATCGCGCCGCGAGGACCACTGAGGCGTCACAGAAGACGACAAACAAAGTCAATGGTAGCCTGATCTCAAAATGTCAAGTGACAAGCCACCCCCGACGGGCTTCGAAAGACAAACCACGGCCAGGTCATTTTCTAAACGGCTTCAGCAGACGTCACTCGTTTGAAACGGCGTGGCGGCTATTCGTCAGCGAGACGCACGATTTCCATCTCGGGCAGAAAAAAAAAAACAAAAAAGAAAAAAAAAACGCAGAGAGGTGGGCCGCGCTCCCACGGGGGAGATGCGAGAGAGAGAGAGGGATGTCTCGCTCTGGCTTTGTTTGGACAACGCAGACGGGCTAATCTTTCTATCAGGCCCCCATCGCAAATTGGGCTATTTGAGTTGAGTGAAGAAAAAAAAAAAAATACGTTTTTTTCCCAGAGATACGCGGCATCGCAGCGGGACACGGCAACTGGATCACAACCGCATCAATAATACACGCGCGCTGTTTACTGTGTGAAAAACCTCCGCCTTTAGGAACGGGCACACAGGATGGAAAAATTCCCCTTCCGCGTGATCAGATGGAGGCCTTTAAATGCGTTTCCTCCCATCGCTATTCATGAGGTCACATGAGCGAGTTGTAAATACGGCGTGCGTGTGATGAAACGTATTAAGACAAAATCAAGGCAAATCTGGGAAACCGTATTCCCGCCGCGGTCTTCCAGTTCTCCTCCCACGCACAACGGGAGGAGAGGAGTCGAAGGGTGAGGAAGGAGGAGGAAAACGGCGGTAATATTTTCGGGGTGCCACAACAAAAGAACGACAACTCAAGCCGTGGCCTGTTTTTGACGGTCCCTCGGGACACAAGCGTACGGCGTCTGTGGGAATGTGTGGCAAGGCAAGAGGGAAAAGAGGAGGTGCACCCGGAGTTCAGTGGTGCACTCCTGCCTTGGCACATACAATGTTTACCATCCCATTCCTCCCCAGGG